TTTACATAATTATTTCGAAGTGTTTGCCACTTCGCCCAAAAATCAGTTAAGATTGCCACATACACTTCATCGCGCAGAATTTCTGTATTCATACACCACACTGGACTTTTGTTTTTACTGTCACCAATGGCGATGTTGATGTGGACAAGGGAATGGTCAGAAAAAGCTAATGCGCCATTGCTTATGTCAATATTCTTAATTTTCCCACGCATACATTTGCTGACATAAAACCTATCAAGGCGCACAAGCGTACCACCACGCCCCCAAGTAAAGTTTAATGTGTTCCCGTGGTATTGGCGCCATGCATCAAACAGTTTGTGATGATTCAGGACAGATTTGAGGAGCTTTGCAGTGCGCATGTCCGGTTCAGTCCCTCTATTACGGTCAATGTCAGGTTCAGTAGTACAATTAAAATCGCCTCCCATGATTACTGGGTCATTATTTAGAGAACTGATGAATTGTTCAATTTAAGTGAAGCATTCCACACGCTCAGCGCCATTAATAGGTGCATAGACATTAATTATGTGAACAAGATTTTCATTAATTTGAACATGAGCGTGCAACACGTACCCAGGCATGATCTCAGATTGTGATAAAATATTCACAGTTGCTCCTGGCGAAAACAAAATAGCCACACCCGCACGATTAACAGTGCCATGAGAAAAAAATACCAAGGCCACGCCACACAGGTTTCCAAATATTTTCATCGGAGACAAGAGAGTGTGTTTCTTGTAGCATATAAATATTACAGGGATGGTCACGCTTGAGATAATTGAAAACACTGTACCGTTTGAGGGCGTCCCGGCAACCACTGACATTGTAAGTTGCGCATGTAATTGTGTTTGCCATCATAACAAGGGAAATTAAAAATCAGCGATAAAGTTACCCGTTTTGATTTGCTGTTTAATTTTTTTAATGAGGCTGTGCATGCGAGATTTATCAGATGTGTTCAACTGCGTGGTATTGCGGTAGTTTATCAGATGTCGAACCAATATTTTAAGATTGGGGCAAAATTCAAAACACTTGTCATATAAATCTACGTGAGTGAAGTGTAGATACTAAAAAGGTTTTGATATTAGCGTTTGATATTGTTGATTCGCTGTTATCAGTACATTTGAAATGATATACCCCTCATTCTCACTACATTCGCTGGCAGTTTCCTCCATATCATCAGCGGTTTTATTTTGTGACATAGGTGTGCTGAAAAGGTCTTGTGATTGATCAGTTAAACCACTTAAATCAATGGGGAGTTCGGATAGCGGCGAATCGCGCGGGGATTCAACTGTGAACTCAAGTGAGGGAGATGATGGAAATGGGGCCGACTCCGTAAGCTCGGGCTGTGGCTTTGGAGTGCACACTGTTACATTGGCATATACGTGGGGAAAGGGTTTGTGGGGGGGTGGGGGAGGCGATGGTGGTGCAATGGAAGGGGAAGGGGAAGGAGGGGTTCTTCATCAATCGGACAATTTTGTTCAACAATTTCGATTGCATTTTCATCGTTACACTTTTTAGAACTTGGTTCACATTTATTTTCGTCATTTAACTGGTCATTGTTTTGTTCTTCTCTATGAACTGGTGATCTAGAGCGCGTGCGCTTTTTGCTCGTATATTTGGATGAATCTGTATTCATTTCAGTTTCAATTTCAATGTTATCTGTTGTACCATCGGTCTCATGATTGTTTATCTCAGTATCTGATGCTTGGGTGTTAATTATATCAGTTATGTCATCGTCTTTGTCGTGAAATGTGTCAGGGGAATTTAAATTAGTTATTACATTCACCTGTTGAGAGTCTGTTTGAGTGCTATTTTGGGCACTATTGTTTTCATCATTCATCATTTGCATATTCGTTGTTTGAGAGTTTGGGCAAGTTTTACGTGTATGTCCCTTCATGTTACATGAAAAGCACGTCAATTCGTCAGACGAAACGTAAATATATGTCTGACCTTGAAAAGTAATAGGTAATAAACCTTTGATATTGAGATCTTTTAAATATACATAAACTTGGCGGCGAAAAGACTTTACATGTTTCAGTGCTGGTCTTTTGCACCCGAGTGGGATCGCTCGCAC